TCTTTCTTTCTTTCTTTCTTTCTTTCTTTCTTTCTTTCTTTCTTTCTTTCTTTCTTTCTTTCTTTCTTTCTTTCAAGAAAAATCTTTCAACAATCCTGCTTCACGCCCCTTGTGGTAGAGGGGTGGTAGGGGGCGGTAGGGGGCGCCCTAACGTTTTAATCAACCACCAATAATTACACGACGAAGAAGACAACCCGGAAGAAGAAAAACAAAACAACAACAACGTGAACTTTTCTTACTGCAGGAAAGTTTTGCTTGATGAAAGCTGACCGAGATGTGGAAACAGCAAGTCAAACTGCGTCTGGAGGCCGCGGTGGAAGACATATTGTGCATTTTTGAAAGAACTGTCGTCAATTATGAAGAAGAACTGATGCGTTTACAGAAAAATGAGCCTCAGAACAACAGCTCGGGACTGCGCACATCAGGTTAGTGTTTTTTTTCTGTCAACTATGACTATGATACTTAAAGTGTAAGCTTAGTTTAATTCTAGCTAGTAGCTTAATGGGTTTAGCTTTTGAAGAAGAACTTGTTAGCTTAGCATGCTATCTGTTGTCGCAACCTAATAATGGATGTTTGTGCCTTTTTTAATATTAAATAATTAGTTTCTACCTTACGTTTTGCAATCAAACAACTGAAAAGAACCCTGCAGAATCATAAAACCCAAATCGCTACACTTCTTTTATTTGCTGTTTCTTAAATCTGGATGTGCAAAATACATATAATTTAGGTTTGAATAACAGATTACTAGTTATTTGTTAAATCAGATGTGTTCTTTGTTATAATGATGCTTGAAGAAATGTAAACATATAGCAGTGGTTGTAATAATTTTATTATTATAAAGACTGCAGTGCTCTCTTCAGGTGCTGGTGTCTCTTTCAGGAATAAGAATTGTTCTGTTATGTGACTTTAAGAGGTTTTATGTTATCCACCATTAGACGTCTTCTTGGCAGACAAATGTTTAACCCTGAACTCAAGTGACGTTTGTGTACATAAAAATTTAAATTGTCCCTAATGCACATATGTTTCAGTGTTGCCTGCAAATAATCAACAAAAGTTGCTGGGTAATAAACATCCTTCTGAAGAACTGAGGCCCATTGTGGACCAATTGGACCCTGAGAAACTCCATATAAAAGAGGAGGAACCCTGGATTGATCCAGAGGGAGAGGAGATCCCTGGGAAGAAGACAGAGACCACCAGGTTTCCTTTCACGGCTGCTCTTTTGAAGAATGAGGATGAGGAAAGTATCCGTCTGTTCTCACAGCTTCACCAACAGCAAGGGGAGGGCAGAGCTCCTCCAAGCAGCAGCTCAGCTGGTCACACGATGGCAGCGACTGGTGGGGAGGACAGCAGAAGAGCAGAAACCACCATGAATCTAGCTCAGGAAGACGATTTCAGCTCTTCAGAGACTGAAGTCAGCGATGAGGATGAAGATGACGATTATGAGTGCCGTCCTGACTTCCAGTTAAAACACTCGTCTGACTCTGGGTCAAAAACTGACGACAGTGATGTAGACTGTAAGGAGAGCAAACCTCGTAGATGTTCTGAGTGCAGAAACCAATTTCTGTTCAACAGCTCTCATAGTGATGTGACGAGTCTCTCCGGAACCAGCCTTTCAACCTGTGTGGTTAAAATGGAAGACATTGCAGACTTAGACAGGAAAGTTGAGACAAAACTGAAATCGTTTAGCTGTGATAGCTGTGGTAAAAAATGTACCAGAAAAGCGACTCGAAAGACCCACAGAAAAGCCCTCTTTACTTGTTATCTTTGTGGATGGAGGTTTCACAGTGAGATTCATTTAGACAAGCACATGCGAGTCCACAAACCGTTTTCTTGTGATATTTGTGGATACAGGTTTGGCCACAAGTCTCACTTAAAGTCCCACTTGAAAATCCACTCAGGAGTGAAACCGTTCGCTTGTACGGTTTGTGAACTCCGCTTCACTCGCAATACACATTTAAGCCGACACATGATCACACACACGGGACAGAAACCGTTTGCCTGTGATGTTTGTGGAAAAAAGTTCACCCGAAAAGAACATTTGAACAGACACATGAGGAAACAGGGACCTAAGCACTCATACCCAACACATCTTAAAAAGAAGATGTCCGCCGTCACTGAAAGCAAAGCAGTTTAACTGTGAATATTAAGACATCTAAAGTCAGACATGAATAGAAGCTGCACAGTTCCAACATCTGTTACAAAAACATGATGTTCTCGTTGATACTTGGAGTAATTTATGTGTAGATATTTCAGGTTTTTTTTAACAATCTTTTGCATTGAAATGAATATTTAATACTTAAAACATGTCTGAAAGCTCATCACAGACCTGTTTAGTTGTCCAGTGGTCTCCGGTTTGATGAATCACCGCAAACTGACTGATTAAATAATACCAAGAGTCAGGATATTTCATTTGCATCCAAGCATTTAAACTTGGATTCTCTAGTTGAACGTGGCCTTAGTTCAGTTTTTTTATTATTTACACTAAATTTTATTTTATTTTATGTTTTATGATTTGTCCGTCCGTCCGTTTTCTGCTGATTATCTGGAATTGGGTCGTGGGGGCAGCAGCCTAAGCAGAGAGACCCAGACTTCCCTCTCCCCAGCCACTTGGACCAGCTCCTCTGGGGGAATCCCAAGGTGTTCCCAGGCCAGCCAAACATAGTCCCTCCAGCGTGTCCTGGGTCTTCCTCTGGACCTCCTCTCAGTGGGACGTGCCTGGAACACCTCACCAGGGAGGCGTCCAGGAGGCATCCTAACCAGATGAACCACCTCAACTGGCTCCTCTCGACGTGGAGGAGCAGCGGCTCTACTCTGAGTCCCTCCTGGATGACTGAGCTTCTCAGCCTATCTCTAAGGGAGAGCCCAGACACCCTGCAGAGGAAACTCATTTTGTACGCTTGTATCTGCGATCTTGCTCTTTCGGTCACTACCCAAAGCTCGTGACCATAGATGAGGGTAGGAACGTAGACCGACCGGTAAACAGAGAGCTTCTCCTTCTGGCTCAGCTCTCTCTTCACCACGACAGACCGGTACAACGCCCGCGTCACTGCAGACACAGCACCAATCCGCCTGTTGATCTCCCGCTCCATTCTTCCCTCATTCTTGAACAAGATCCTGAGATACTTAAATTCCTCCACTTGGGGCAGGACCTCCTGCCCGACCCGGAGGCGGCACGCTACCGGTTTCCGGCTCAAGACCATGGTCTCGGATTTGGAGGCACTGATCCTCATCCCGGCTGCTTCACACTCGGCTGTGAACCGCTCCAGTGAGAGCTGGAGATCACGATCTGATGAAAAGCAAATAGGACCACATCATCTGCAAAAAGCAGAGATGTGATCCTAAGGTCACCAAAACGGATCCCCTAAACACCTTGGCTGCTTCTAGAAATTCTGTCCATAAAAGTTATGAACAGAATCTGTAACAAACTTTGGCGAAGTCCAACTCTCACTGGAAACAAGTCCGACTTACTATCTGCAATGCGGACCAAGCTCTGGCCCCGGTCGTACAGGGACCTAACAGCCCGTATCAATGGGCCTGGTACCCAATACTCCCAGAGTACCCCCCACAGGAGTCCCCGAGGGACACGGTCAAACGCCTTCTCCAAGTCCACAAAACACATGTAGACTGGTTGGGCAAACTCCCATGCACCCTCCAGGACCCTGCTGAGGGTGTAGAGCTGGTCCAGTGTTCCACAACCAGGACGACAACCACACTGCTCTTCCTGAATCTGAGATTTGACTATCTGACGGACCCTCCTCTCCAGGACCCCTGAATAGACCGTACCAGGGAGGCTCAGAAGTGTGATCCCCCTACAGTTGGAACACACTCTGCAGTCCCCCTTTTTAAATAGGGGGACCACCACCCCGGTCTGCCAGTCCAGGGGAACTGCCCCCGATTGGCAGACCGGGGCAGATTGTTTTATGATTTGTTTTCTTGAAAACTTTTTAAGTCTGATATCTCAGGAAATGAAAAATACATGTTCATTTCAGATCATTTTATTCTGATTCAAGCATTTATTTTTAATTGAGAACACTCATTTCACTTCTGAGTACTTGGAGGCATATGAATATATACAGCGGGTAAAATAAGTATTGAACACGTCACCATTTTTCTCAGTAAATATATTACTAGAGGTGCTAATGACATGAAATTTTCACCAGATGTTGGTAACAACCCAAGTGATCCGTACACATTATTATGCACATTGTTACAAATAACTTCATTTCTGGACATTTATGGTTTGATTTCTTTGTATGTATGGATCACTTGGGTTGTTACCAACATCTGGTGAAAATTTCATGTCATTAGCACCTCTAGTAATATATTTACTGAGAAAAATGGTGACGTGTTCAATACTTATTTTACCCGCTGTATATATT